GGCCCTCAAAGCCGCTGTGAGCGGCCATCCAGAAGCCAGCGACTGATCTGCCTTGCCCGGGAAGAGTGCAATGATGGTGCCAACTTGGGCCAGTGAAGCAATGTCCTCCACAACTAGACTGAAGAACAAAAGGACAGNCCTACCTTCATTATGTCTGGAGTGGTTTTATTTTATTTTATTTTATTATTTCCATTTCCCAATGATGGATTGTGTGAGGGAAAAAATGAGGACATTGCAACTACAGGGTTTGTTACCAAACACTGACTTTGATCAAGGGTAGTGGAAGAATTTATAGGGCATTACTATCCAGTAGCTCCTCTTGAGTGCACAAACTTAAATTAACCTTTTATATATAGGTAAGAGTCTTCCTCTTCATGACACCATTCTTACCCACAGTACAATTTTTCTTTTTTGCCCGTATTAAAAGGAGCTCAATTGTGATTTTTCTCCCCATGTGTGTTTTTTGTTTCCCTTGTTTTTTACATATCTTGGTTTCTCAATATATGCCTAACAGAAAAATGATAATATTTCATCATTATAATTCCCACATAAATTATATAAAATATCATTAATCTATTCAATTTTAATATAGCCTACATCATTGGTGTTGGAGTAAAATATATGAAATTGTTATTTCTATAAGTTAAAAACTGTCTAATAGTGATAATTTTGTATTATTCAACCTAATACATTTAGAAACAATAGTTTTACCATGATAGATAATAGTTTGACTTACGTTTTCCCAATGTATTTTCCCATGTAGTGATGCATTATTAGCTGCTGAGTTGCTTCTTCTCAATGTTTTAGTTTCATTGTCACCTGGCTATCTGAAACATTTAAGGGCAGCTTACTTCGCTTCCTTGACTTTTATCAACCATACTTTTAAGTGTGAAGAGTAAAGTTTTGAGCAGATAGGAATAGGTTTAACACATAGTTTGACTGACTGTTATATGTAATAATAATTGTATACTGTCCTTTCAATGGACACTCAACATTTGAGTTCCCAGATGTCACAGTCCTTGTGTTCCATTTATTAAGGGGTAGTTATTTAACCTCAGGTGGTGACTCAGGCAGAACTCTTCTATCTAGCCAATGGGATAAAGAGACATCAGTTTTTTTCTCCCAGGGTAACCTGTTTAGAGTAGATATCCATGTTCAAATAACTGACAAGTGGCAGTACTTAAATGGAAGCTTATTATGATGAGGAAACCTCTTTCAATTATTCTACCTAACCACCCTTGTTATCTGACTTATCTTTCATGAATAAACAACATATATTTGTAACTCATGTCAAGGAGGGCACATTAATATTCACTGTATACTTTATGTTCTCGGTTTTATTCTCTGGAACCAAATGTTTTCTGAAAAANTTATAGACTAATTCTATACATAGATATCACATCCTGTGTAATGGTGACTCTGTTTACAGGCGTACCTCAGATGTATTGCTGGTTTGGTTCCAGACCACCACAATAAAGTGAAAATCATATTCAAGTGAGTCACACAAATTTTGTGGTTTCCCAGTGCATATAAAAGTTATACTGACACTATACCATAGTTTATTAAATGTACAATAGCATATGTCTAAAAACTGTACCTACCTCAGTTAAAAAGTACTTACTTTCTAAAAAATGCTAATCTTCATCTGAGCCTTCAACCTGTCATAGTCTTTTTACTGGTGGAGGGTCTTGCCTCGATATTGATAGCTGCTGACTGATCAGGGTGGTTGTTGCGGAAGGTTGGGGTGGTTGTGGCAATTTCTTAAAATAATACAACAATGAAGTTTACTGCATTGGTTGACTCTTGCTTTCATGAACAATTTCTCTGTAGTATGTGATGCTGTTTGATAGCATTTTACACGCAGTAGAACTCCTTTCAGTATAGAAGATAATGCTCTCAAACCCTGTTGCTGCTTTATCACCTAAGTTTATGTAATATTCTCATTCCTTTGTTGTCATTTCAACAATATTCACCGCATCTTCCTCATGAGTAGATTTCATCTCAAGAAATCATTTTCTTTGCTCATCCATAAGAAGCAACTCCTTCATTCAAGTTTTATCATGAGAATGCAGCAGCAATTCAGTCACATCATCAAGCTCCACTTCTAATTCTAGTTCTCTTGCTATTTCCACCTTGTCTGCAGTTACTTCTTCCACCAAAGCCTTAAATCTCTCAGTGTTCTGCATGAGCGTTGGAATCAATTTCTTCCGAACTCCTGTTACTGTTGATATCTTGACCTCTGCCCATGAATCACAAGCATTCTTAATGGCATCTGGAGTGATGAATCCTTTCTAGAGGGTTTTCAATTGATTTTGCCCAGACCCATCAGAGGAATCACTGTCTATGGCAGCTATAGCCTTATTAAATGTGCTTCTTAAATAATAAGACTTGAAAGTCAGAATTAGTCCTTGATCCATGGGCTGCAGAATGGATGTGTCATAGTAGGCATGAAACAACATTAATTTCATTGTACATCTTTATCAGAGCTCTTGGATAACCGGGTGCATTGCCAATGAGCAGTATTATTTTGAAAGGAATCTTTTTTTTTTCTTCTCTGAGCACTAGGTCTCAATAGAGGGTTTGAAAATTTCAGTACCCCACCTTGTAAATGGATGTGCTGTCATCCAGGCTTTGTTCTATTTATAGCACACAGGCAGAGTAGATTGAGCATAATAATTGTTAAGGGCCCTAGGTTTTCAGAATGGCAAAAGAGCATNCATTTTTTTGGCACCCTCTGTTTATAATTATATATTGCATATAAATTGTATATGCATAATATATAAATATGTATAATATATAAATGTATATACACATATATATATATATATATATATAATTAAACTGCATATATATTATTATTCCTGTTACTTGCATATATAATATTGTTAGTGTTGCATATACTATATTATTGTTTCAGACTGCTGATAATTATCCACCCAAAACTTAGTGGCTGAAATCGACACCAATCATTAATGTTGTTCACAAACCTGCAATTTGGACAGGGCTCATTGGAAACAGCCCATCTGTACTCCATTACTGCACACAGTGTCAGCTGCTCTGACTTGAAATCCAGGTTGACTGAGAGGCTGGAGTGTGGAATCACCTGATGATTCACTGAATTCATATATTTACTGGTGCTATTGGCTGTTGGCTGGGACCTCCGCTGAGGATACCATCTGGAAAACTGCTTGGGTTGCTGAGAGCATATTGTTTAGGTTCCAAGAGCTAGCGTTCAAGTGATCAAGGCAAAGTGCGTGGCATTTTTATGACCTTGTTTTAAAGGTCACATGGGATCACTTCTGTTGTACTCTATTGGTTGAGGCAGTCACAAAGGTCAGTCTGATTTCAAGGGCAGGGTATGTAGAAGCCACCATGCGATGGGAGGAATGTTAAGATCACACGGGAAGAAGAGCATGTGGGATGGGACGTATTGATTGCAGTGGCCAGTTTTGGAAAACATAACATGCCATGTTTTATGTATGTGAATATATAATTTTATTTATAAACTGTACTTCTATTCACTAGCTAACTTTAGAAAATACTGTTCCCAAGCAAAACTTACCATGCTAAAGGGATTCTATTTGATTCAATGAACATTTATTGTTTCTGCACTTTCTCTATTCTCTTAAAAATGCTTGTCTGCCCTCCCAAACCTTTTCTCACATCTGTTCAAAGCCTAGACCAAGGCTTATGTCATCATTATTATTTCTATTATTTATTTGACCTGAAGAGCATTTTCTCTTACCTTCATTCACTTTGTCACTAAACGTTTACTATCTGTGGGTACCTGTATCTTTTTTACAGTTCAAAGAGTAAATAATACACTGCAGACTAATATTAGGTGTTTGACTAAACTGAAAAATATTTGTACATTATATGCCCGTTAACCAGAAGAATTCCTTTTCATTTTATCTAAATTATACTCTTTCTGTCACTAGATTTAAATGAACAGAACATCAAGTTCAGCTAAAAGCGAAAAATGCCATTCTGTATCTAAATCTATATTGCAAAATTTAAAAATAGAAATGGTTTTTCTTGAAATTTTATTCTTATATGGAACAAATGATGAAAAATTATCTGCCTATGACAAATTTGAGGTGCATAATGAGATTGCTTTTTTTTCCAAAGGGACTGAAAATCAAATAAATAAAAAAAGTGAAACTAAAATAGCAATATTTTCTCCATTAAACCTAGCCTGTTTCGTTAGAGATTGAAGTAATTTTGCATAAGTATCATTGAAGTAATGAAAATATTAATGTCATTTAATTTTTAAAGCAAACTATAAAATTTTAAATGATTAAAAAAAAAAGAACCCTGGGTAAAGGAAGGGAGAGACCAACTTAAAATAGGTCCTTTAGAAATTGCATATAATTAATTGCTTTATAGGAAATAACTGAAAAACTAAGTTTAGTTTCTGTTTTCTGAATTCCAAAATCAAATAGAGATTACTCTTTCATTTGTGCTCTTAAAGTCTTTCCTACATACTGCTACTAAAATAATGATCATATCAAGTCATATATATTTACTTTTACACATACGTGCCTCAAGCCTTAGATTGCTAGCAACTCAAGGGTGATCTTTTCCCCCTAAATTATGTACTCCGAAACAAAAGTGACTTTCCTAAAATTTGATTCTGTGTGATAGAAACTGCTCGTTGACTCTTCAGAGAATAAAGGAGAATCTGAATCAAGTGTTTGTCCTTTTTCAACCATCCTTTTAAAAAAAAGTTATTCTATCAAAATGATGTTATCATTTGAGAATGTATTAAACTCCTCCACTTATTAAAATAATGTATTGAACTTAATATCAGGACAAACAGATACATTTTCAAGCTTAGCTCAACATACTCGATAAAGATTAGTATCTTACCTTTGTGCATATTGTGGTGTTCTGTTTATTTTTTAAAGAGAAGAGTAACTTTAGAAATATTTTCCTTTTATTTAAGTAGCATAAATTCCTTAAGAGATTTGACCACATCTATCACAACATGTGTCTCAATCCTAGAAAACGGACGGAGCAGGCCATACCACCTCAGAATCTAAAGTGACATGTATGGGTTTATTATACATGTCGAGGAAAGCCTCTGGGTCCATGAATTCTTCAGATTTGCACAAGTACTTTATTATTTGTTCCGGGGGGAGCAATTCAGGTACAACTTGGTGCAAGTTATCTCCTGGTCCTTTAGTGCTCACTTTAACAGTCTTACAAAGGTAGAGTGCCAGTTTATGAGTTTGGGTGAGAAACTCTGTGACGACCTCTTCTAGGGATCGTGACTGTGTCAAGTCATCAAGATACATGACAGGCACTTTTACTATTGAAACTTGCCACTGAATGAAGATCCTTGTCGGGATGTTATGGGACACGACGATAATTTTCATTCCTTGGATAAAAAATTCTTTTTCGTTCTTTTCATGGCCAACATAATCTAAAAGAATTCGGTAAAGAGTGCCACTGGAGGTCTCGAGGATATGCAGAATGGAAGTAGGATACATAAGTAATAACCCCGTCACCGCTTCTCCTAGGTGATGTTTCAAAATTGACTGAAACGCATGTTCATAGTATTGAGCAAGATCTTTTTTTTCTATTCTGGCTGTTATGTTGGCTACTAGAAATATCCTATGAAGAAGGAATTTCTTTAGCTGGAGTCTTTGCTTTTCTTCCTGAATATGAAAATAATTGCTACGTGGAACTTGAGGCGTTAGGTGAGATTCATAAGGTCTTTGGCTCACCTTTTGGGTATGGCCTGAGAAGTACATGATGAGTCTTAATTGTTCTTCTAGATAGTTCCAATTTTTAGCTTATCACAATATATATGATGCTATCAGGATAATTCTTTTGTGATGACCTGTTATTTTTATTTCTTCTGACAAAAAAAAAAAAAGAGTTTACTCAGTTTGTCCAATGCTACTGAATAGCAATATCCCTTCTCAGAGGTATCAGTAAACAATGTCTTTGACATGAAGGAGAATGTTAAAACAAGACTCAAATTATGGTAATTAAAAAAAGAAGTTTGCAATGAAATAACTAACATGCATCCTAGAAAATCTCAGTTCAGCCTGTTTTTGTTTACATTATTTTCTTCTTCAATTTATAGTCCATTTTTAAGCCCTCATCCTTGTATCTCACACAGACACACACACACACACACACACACTCACACACACACACACACAAATTGAGAGAAGTGTATCTGCTGACAGTCATTGACAATAATGGCATCACATTAAAATGTCTTTTCATTTATGTAATGGTGATTACAGATTGTCCTTGATGTGTCAAAAATTTTAAGTGGTATTCTATGGTAATTCCCCAAATTTCTGTTATAAATTTATCAGGTCAATATATGTATTTTTTAACTCTGGTGATCTCTTAGGTCCCATTGGCTTATTTACCCTTTATTCAATACACTGAAAGTTAATAGCGTTGATTGCATAATAGTCAACTTTGGAAGTAACTAATTTTGATAGTTTTTTTCTCCTGTCAACAAACCTCAGAAATGGTTCTTTTACTTTTCTATTCTTTCTGTCTTTCTTTTTTTCCTTCTTCTTCTTCTTTTTTTTTTTTTGGTTTTGTTTTGCTTGTTGTTGGGGTCAAATAAAAAATACTTTACTTCTAATTTACTCTTCTTATAAATCTTTCCTTACCTCCAGGTCAACTTAACATTTTTTTCTTTTTCCAGTGCGTTTTTCTTTTACCTGTCCATGAGGTCCTGCTTGTCCTCCATCACTCTTCCAACTGCCATCTGTCCTGTGTTCTATTCCAACTCCCAGCATGCCCTAGTGAATCAGAATGTGGTATTGTTAAAGGGCCAGCACTCACTGGCATCTCACATTTCCTAATTTAATGAGGACATCTCAACAGACACCTCAACATTACAATACAGGACATGAGGGCTTCTTTTTTTAAAGATTTTTTATTGGGGAATTGGGGGATGGGAACAGTGCTGAGGAATTGGGAGAAGGGGAACAGACAAGTTGCTGTCCTTTTGTTCTTCAGTCTAGTTGTGGAGGACGTTTCTTCACTGGCCCAAGTTGGCACCATCATTGTGCTCTTCC